TTAACATGTATTAGTTCACACAAACACTCCATCCATGCTTTTGTTCCGGCCCTCCGGTCCAGTTTAAGAACCCATTGTGGCCCTTGAGTCAAAAAGTTTGCCCACCCCTGACCTAGTACATCAAGGCTCACACAAGCTCAGGAGTCAGAGGTAGTGTGAGACAGGAGTTGTGCCACATGCCCATCCAAAGTCAGTGTTCTCACTGCCAGCTCTGCTGGCTGTCTTTAGGTTTCTCTTGGACCATTCAGTTTGTAATCCAGATGTGCACGCTCAGTAGAACCCCAGGAGACTTGCTAGACTGTAAATCAGCAGTTGGTGGGGGTTGAACTCATGCTGCCCTTCCCATCTCTGCTCTCCCTATAGCATCCCCTGAGACTGTGCCCAACCTAGTTTAAAGGGACTCTGGAGATATGGTTCCCCCACTGCTCAGAGTTTAAAACTTGGTCCCTCAAGGGACTGGAGCAGGTAATCAGTCGGTGTCTTTATTAAAACCATCTCATTATGTTTAATCTACTCAGCAAGCATTATGACCTCTGTGCTAGGGTCTTTATTCAGGACATACATACCCAGGGACCTCCTCCTTAAAATCACCGCCTGGACATTTTCATTGCATGTAGGGGGAAATAATGCTGAGGGGGGATTAGAGCCCTGGCAGGGTGTGGTTCTTCTTTGTAAGCCTATAGAAATTCACTACGTAAAAATGCCAAAAGGCCTTTGAAGATAAAGGCTTACTCGCCAAGATTTTTAAAATTTTAATTTCTATAAAACATCCCAGAGCTATAAGCTCAATATCTGATTATTAGATGGACTATTAAGATCCTAACCTTTACTTACTGAACCTAGAATTTGTGAGGATGGGGTGATGTTTTAATTCATTTCTGGGGTATTTATTGTGCATCCTCCTTATTTGCTCAAAAAATGGCTGTTAAACTAAATTATAATAAAAGAAGTAAGTTCCTACCACTTTGTTCTTACCTGCTCCTTCTGCTGGATCAGGCTGGCAGTCATTCGTTTAGGTTCATTGCACACACCATGCTCAGTCTTCCTCTTCTTTGACCTGGGTGCGCATTTATTCTGCAAACACAAATAGACACCTGATCTGTGCCAAGCACTGGGCAAACTGGGGGTGCAGAAGTGAATCAGACATGGTCCCTGTCCATAGGGGCTCATGGTCTAGAGAACACATCCTATATAATAAAAGGCTAATACGCATATCAACCAAATGGCAGAACGACTGGTCACCATGACACACTGACCACCAGGGGGCAGATGCTCAATGCAGGAGCTGCCCCCTGGTGGCGGGAGCCTCTCCCGCCTGGGGGCAGGGCGGGGGTTAGTGCTAGGGATGTCTGACTGTTGGACATCCCCGTTGGACATCCTCTGAGGGCTCCTGGACTGTGAGAGGGCTCAGGCCAGGCTGAGGGATTGCCCCCACCCCCACCAGTGCATGAATTTTGTGCACTGTGCCTATAGTGTATAATAATTGCAGTAAGGCTAGAAGAACTTTGCTTCCTCTGCATTAAGGTTCAAATGCTAGTTCAGCCTCTTGGTTTGTTTTTTGATGTATAAAATGACAGTGATGCCAGGCTCACGTTAGGGTTTAGCCCAGCGGTGGGCAAACTTTTTGACTCAAGGGCCACAATGGGTTCTTAAACTGGACTGGAGGGCCGGAACAAAAGCATGGATGGAGTGTTTATGTGATCTAATATAAATTCAAAGTAAACATCATTACGTAAAAGGGTAGGTCTTTTTTTTTTTTTAGTTTTATTCATTTCATACGGGCCGGATCCAGCCCGCGGGCCGTAGTTTGCCCACAGCTGGTTTAGCCAGTACTGCATGTCAAGCACTGAGCATGGGTGGTAGCTGTGATAATGGATGCTGGATGCTGAGGATGTACAGACGTGGTAGGCTTTTCAGAGTGCCTTCAAGGTTGAGGAGAAGTTTATCCTGAGGACAAAATGGAGAAACTGTCTAAACAAAGGAAGCATAATAGAGACCCAGAGGCAAGAAGCACCCAACTCATGGGAGAGTGACAAGAGGCCTAGAATATCTTTAAAGAATGGGGCATCCTAGGGAGGAGCAGGAATAGAAACAGCCTTAGTTTTAAGGAAACAAAAAACAAACTTTCCCTGCTTCTTCAGTAGTTTCCTTATTACTGATATTCTGCAACTGCTAATCTTCCTTATCGAACATTTACCCATGCCTATCTTTTTGTTTTTGTTAATCCTCACGTGAGAATATTTTTTCATTGAATTTTAGGGAGAGTGGAAGAGAAAGGGAAAGACAGAAACATTGATGTGAGAGATACACATCAATTGGTTGCCTCCTCCACAAGCCCTGACCAGGGCCCAGGTCGAGGAGGAACCTGCAACCAAGGTAGGTGCCCTTGACCGGAATCGAACCTGGGAGCCTTTGGTCTGCAGATTGACACTCCATCCACTGAGCCAGACCGGCTAGAGTGACCCATGCCTACTTTGTACTGCCACCTCTACTGAATGATTGGGATGCATTGACCTATGGGACACAGGCCTTGCCCATGGAAAGCTCATAGCGTTGTGGAAAGGTAGATTTCAACAACTGGGATACCTGTGATAAGCTCTATTCAAGATATATGTAAAACAAGTGTTAGGGCATTCCAGAGCAAAGCAGTGTATTCTGCCTATGGACTTAGGCAGATATAACACCCAAACTGATCCTAAAAAGGAAGAGGTAGAGGGAAGTGTGAGTGAGCGCTTTGTGGATAATGGTTCTTTGTGGCAAGGTGTGCAGAGCAGACAAGGACTGTACTTACCGTATTTGCCGGCGTATAAGACGATTTTTTGGCCCTGAAAAATATGCCTCCAAGTGGGGGGTCGTCTTATATGCCAGGTACACTTCAGATAGACTGCCCATAGTGCTTGCCCCGTGCCATAGTGGCCTCCCGATGCCCGCCCACTTCATTCCACATACCGTTCAGGCATCAGCAGCGCTGCTGGGTGT